TTTGTCCTGAAGTTCAGAAAGGAAACAGAGGCAATGAGTGGGGTAGGTGGAAAGTCCAGAGCCCCCCACCCCGCTGCATACTCAACCCCTCTACTGGTGCAAAGCCTCCCCCTGACCCACGTTCACCTGCCTTCCTACCTCTAAGGCTGCACTGAGAAGGCAGAGAAGATCCTGGGGACCAAGCAAGCCCTCTGAGGTGTGGGAGAGCCTCCAGGTGGGCGGGGGCAGGAAGCTAATGCAGATGCTTCCAAGGCACTAAGAGATGCAGGAAGGAAAACCAGTCTATAAGGTCTCCCCCTCCTCTACCTGCCTGTTCTCAGTCTGTGGCTTTACAATGAGAAAATTAAGTGCCGTTTTGACACAGGAAAAATGATCACCGTAGGCTTGAGCTGACATTAACCTGAAAGTTTTCTATCAAGGCATTACAGCTTTGATTACCTGAGTCGTGTTTAGTTGGGTCTTTGATTACCGAGGTGGGCTTGTCTCTGGGGAATGTATTCCTGCCCCCACCCCCCTTCTCCCTGCTGGCTCTGGTGCCTGGATGCTTCTCTGCCAGCTCTACCCTGCTTCATACCATACCTCAGCCTTTCCATCAGTTGGGACTATCAGCCCCCTTCACATTTTTTTTTTTTTTTTTTAGTCTTTCTGTTGCTTCATTACCAAATTATACACACACATACACACTCGCACACACATGCGTAGTTCTATTTGGGTTGTAAAAGCCAACTCATAAATTCCCTAAAAATTGAGATTAATCACAGAATTGCCCATTCAGCCTTAATTATAATGATGTTCTCACTTGCATTTCTGAGGCTCCCATGTAATTCTCATAGATCTGAGTGAGATTTCAGTTCATGCAAGGGCTAGATGGTAAGGGCCTCAGAAGTTTGTGTGAATTCAATGGACTTCTCTGCCTGCAGTGTCCAGGCACCTGTGGGGGGAGGGTCTTAGGGTACTTTTTTTGTAGATGTGCCTGCAGTAGCTGGTGGTGGGTGCTTGTCCTTTGCCTGGTGCTGAATTCTGCAGCTTGGGCTAGTCTCTTGTTTAAAGGCCACTTAACAAGCCAGAGAAGGGCATCCCTTAATGCGGCTTCCCAGTGGGCAAACTGACCGGGTGTGACAACTTGTTGTAGCCACACAGCTGTGGCAGGGCCCAGGGGGGATTTGAAGCCAGCTGCATTGGCCCAGGGAGGCTGATGACCCTCACCTCCTTTGCACCCCCACCTTTCCATATAATCCTACTGGGAACAGAAATCATCCTTCCAAATGATACCAGCTTGCCTTTAAAATGGAAGTTAAAAAAAAATATGAACCAGAACTCGTGGCTTTGAGAACATATGCATTGTTGTAAATTTGTTTGCAGGAAGGAGAAAATATTGGGAAACTCTGCATGAGCTAAATGCTCACTGTAGAGATAGTCAACAGATCGCATGGATGTTATATATAAAATGTAATCTCTTTGGACAGTTCAATGTTTCATTTTGTCTCTCAAAATATCTAGGAACAGTTATCCCTTATTGATCAGAAGAAAAAGTAGCACCGGCAATCCTTGGGGTTATTTTTTTCTAAAATTTTAATTCTCCCTAAAAATCTATCACAGTCCAATCAGGCAGAGCCTTCCAAATTATGAAGGAAAGGTCGTCCTTGATATGAGCCTATTGAAGGGGGTGGGAAGTCTTATTGAAATTACAGCTAAAGTGCTTTATAATTATTTCCCATCCTCGGCCTGGGCTCCCAGTTTGGGGGTTTGGAATCTTGTCGGTGCCAAGTGGCTGTTTTCGGCAGCCTTAAATCTGCACGGAGCAGAGAGCGCCTGCCTCGCTGATGGAACGCGGCTGGATCTGCTAATTAAACTCGGTGCAGGATTGCTTAGCATCTGAGAAACTTTATTCACTAACGTTTCCACCCGAAAGAGGGTCAGCGCTGGTGGGTGGCAGTCCCTCCCCAATCGCGTAAGAAGAGTTCAAAAGGTGGAAAAGTGCTAGTGTGGGAATGTGGGGAGGGAGAAAAGCGGCCACATGCCGACATGAAAGGATTTAATCTGCGCAGCCGAATCCTCTCTGTGATCCAGGAGGGCCGCCTCTGTGCTGGCCTCGGCAGCAGTGCCACTCACTCTCCCGAGTCCTGCGGGGTGCTCAGGACTTGGAGCTCAAGAGTGGTCTGGAGCTCCTGCCTGGAGTGCTCTTGGACTTTGCATGCACCATTTCTTAAGCAAAAAGCCAGACGCTGCTCCGTCTGCGATTCTTTTCTGAGATCATTGACTTGACAACTTAATATTTATTTTCTGTGTTTTTTGTTTTGTTTTGTTACAGTCTCTCCCCCCCATTTCCTCCTTATCTGCTCTTTCACTCTTTTGCACACACACTCATTCTCAAAGTATTTTGAAAAAGCTTTTGTTAAAGTTTGAGGGCGGGTGGTGCAGGGTGTGGAGGGGGGGTCGCTGCATTGCCATTTTAGTTCCATTTAAAATGACCATCTAGCATATTTTGGAGGCCGAAGAAATAGTACAGATAAGCTGCCACGGATATTTGCATCATCTAAAAATGTATTGATGAAGCCTGTAAGATAGCAATTTTCTCCTTTAATAACTACTGTCACCCCAAGGAAGACACAGTGGTCTTCAGAGTATGTGACAAATGATGGGCTCAGCCGGGGCCTGGTCATCTGCTTGGCATTTCCCATGACAGTGCCCTGTGATGTAACGGATGGTGATCTGGCCTGTCTTTTGGAGGGGGATGTGACTGCTGTGCCTGTTGGCATGTTTATTCTCTAGCGATGACTGTCTGAGGTCAAGTAATATATTCCAGATATTAGGGTACAGAGTATCATCAAAACCCTCTCGGAGAAAGAACTGGTTGCGTTTTTTGACATCCTGCCCTTTTATCTCACTGATACCAGCAACCTGATCCTCGCATTTTCCCTCTTGTTTCAAAAGGTTGACAAGAGCTAGATCCCTGTGTGAGATTTTTTTTTTTTTCCTTCCAGGCACTGCCTGGTGAAAAAATACTAGGCCCATGTGTGGATCTTGGGGACAACAGGGGTCTATTGTTAAGAAAACTTTTTCTCCTTTTGCATGATAATATTACTCAGATAAAAATCACGGTAATTTTTGTGTGTGATCTCCAAATACCACCTTCAATAAAATAATTTGTTCATTGATCTAAAGAATGAGTGGTTTCCAGCTGCTTCCTTCCTCAGAATAGACTTTTGAGTTGGAATCTGTCTCTTTGACTCCTGTCTGGTGGAGGTTGGCTTCCTGTGGAGGTCATTGTGAAGGGGCCAGGTGGCCTGGGGAGGCTGGGGACAGAGTGCTTGCTTCTCCAGGAACTGGAGGCCTTAGCAGAATCTAATGCAAAATGCCAGTATGATAATTTGTACTTAATTGTGCAGATATTTGTGCTCCCTGATCTCTTTCTTGGAGGTAGGCAAGTCAGACTTTTGCTGGCCTGGAGTGCCAAGGCAACCTCCATTTTATTAATCTCCATCATCAATCAGTGGTTTAATCTTTAGGTGGGTGCAGGGAAACTTTACCCAATTTTTTTGCTTGCTTACTCTATACTTGCTTCAGAAAATGGAGAGTCTAAAGAAGAATTGTTTGTGTGCATTCTATTTTTCTAATTAATTTTTTTTGCAAGGGTTACTTAGTACATGTGTGTTGTTCAATATATCAATATCTGTAAGTTCACTTTTTGCATAATTTAATTTTTAGGGATATTCCCTCTTTCATTCCACGATTGAGATACTTGTTTCATTGAGCTGGAAAAACATCGAGTTTGGTAAATGAGGAAGAGCTTGAAGCATGTTTGCTTTGTTTTGTTTTGTTCTTAAAACAGCGTCACACCATAATAGAGAGCTCAGGACCAGTCAGATGGGACTGAGTTCAACACCCGCCTCTTCTACTTACAAGCTGTTTGTGAGCCGGGCATTTTTATCTCCAAGCCTCAGTTTTCTCATCGGTGGGATTGGAATAATTCTTCCTGCCTCATCAAAGTCTCTTTCCTGCATTGAAAGAGAAAAATGATTAATGAAAGAGCCCAGGGACCAGCTATTCGAGGAATAGCCAGCTACGATTATTACTCGTTTTCTACATTTTGTTGAATATTTTAGAAATGCGGCCCCTGCCCAAAGCTGTGTGTGCCAGTCATTTGCAGAGCTGCTGGAGAGGTCTCCTTGCTCCTTTGTTGCCTTGGCTGGTCTTTGGAGTTATTCACCTGGGGATCAATAAGTATCGGCGGATTGATTTCTTATGTTTCTGAAGATGCATTTTATAGGGTCGGCTGAGTTCATGGAGGAGTCTGGGTGGGGGTGGGGTCTACGCCTTCACTAAACAAGCATTCTCACTCCAATCCACCAAATATTAGCACCACGATTCCCCTACATGTTCACATGTCATGCGTATCACCGATGCACACACATACATGTACATATGCCACATGCGAGCATACACGCATGCACTTACATACACAGACCTGTGAACTGGCATTGCATGCTTGTCCACATACATGCACATCGTACACCAGTTGCTGGAATCCTGGTGGGAACATGATACATTTTTCTCTCCATCTTTTCCCTAGAGGCAAAGCCAAAGGCCCCCAAGAAGGTGTTGTCATTCATTCATGCATTTTAGAAAATATCAAGTGCCTTTGTGTCCTAAGTAGGTTTAATGCTCTGAACAAGAACAAAATCACCATAAGACTGTTATCTCCAGACCAACAACAGAATGAGAGTAGTGATGATCTCAGGGGTTCTGGTTCCAAATGAGCACGCGCACACATAACACACACACACACACAAAACACACACACACAACACACACACACACACACTAAAGGAATTTGCCTAATTTGTATCCTGGTGTGTATTCATGTATTGATTCCAGGGAAACTGACGCTCAAGTATGAGGTATTAAATTGGCGAGTTGAACCTAGAGCCGTTTCATTCCAGACAAGTCACCCAAGCAAGAGGTGGGGAGTCGAACCTCACTTTTTTTTTTTTTTACAGAGGACCAGGTGGAAGTCCAGGATGGTTTTCCCAGGAGGTTTTTTTCCCAATGGCCCCTAACCCTGTGACAAAAGGACAGCTTCAGTCTCCATTGGACAGCCGGGAATACCCTAGCGATCCCATCTTCCTCGGGTATATTTGAAACCAAGATCAAGTCCTGTAAATAAACCTGTAAAATTTATTGGGTGCTTATTAGATGGATGGCCTTGGGTTTTAAAATGCAAGGTATCATTTAACTTAGTCCCTGGGGTACTCTCTGTCTTTTGGTTGAGTGAGGGAGGCTTATCCATGTGGTGTGACTTGCCCAAGGTCAAGCTGCTGGTAGGTGGCCAGGCAGGGCTCTCTCTGCAGGAATCCTGTGCTGGGATGCGTGGCTGCTGGTGCCTTTGGGAAGGGGGCTCTGGGCTCCTCCTGGAGCTTCTCTGCAGATGGAGTTTTCTGGAACAGAACAGTTGGAGACCCATGCTTGTGAGGTGGACATCCTTGTTTCAGTTGCAGATTCTGCCGTTCTCTCCCCTTGGACCCTAAAGGGGGAGATGTGTTCTGAGCATAGGAGTCCTTTCCCTTTTTAATTTACATCCTGGGAATAAGAGGGAAGACCCACATCCCCTCCTCTGCTGGTGGGAAGTGGAGGACACCAACCCCCAGACCCTAAAAGTATCTCTTCCTTTCCCTAGAGAGTCCTTGCCTCTCTGGTCCCTACCTTAATGTCCCACTCTTCTGTCAAGCTTCATTTCACACCCTTCCAGCTCCGTGAAGCTGTGTGGGGGCACCTACCCCTGCAAAAAAGAGCCACACGCGAGGCCTTCTGGGAGCCTGCCCTCATCTGCCGGAGCCTCGGGGTTCAGGAGCGCGTCTCCTCCAGGCTTTCAGGGCAGCCTTTGCAGGAGACACCAGGCAGGGTCCCGGTCCCTGGGCTTTTTCTTGCCTATCATCAGTGAGGTGCAAAGTGTTGACACTGGTCACATCCTGGGGGTTTCTTGGGACGGGCTCGAATGGGCCGGTGTTCAGCTCTAGAGCTTCAAGGGGACAGTATCTCTTCAGGAAAGTGGGTTAGAAGGGCCAGGCCCTCTGAGCCCCTTGAGGACCTCCCTACCATGTCCCAGGGCAGCCCCTGGCTGCATGCTGGTCTGCCTGCCGGGGAGGTGGCCTGGGGCTGCCCCTGCAGACAGTGCTGACTGCAGCTGCCTGACCTCCCCGGGGCCTGCTTATGAACAGCCCCAGAGACAGAATCAACCCTGGAAGAGCCACATGCCGCTGGGATGGACATCCAGGCTCTGAGAAGGAAGCTCTGCCAGCAGGCAGTACACATAAAGTAGGCTTCATGGATCTTCTTGTGAGGTACTGGGTACTAAGTGAAGGGTACTAGGTATTAGGTGAAGGGTACTAGGTACTTAGGCCTCAGTGTGTAACTGGTGTTTCTTGAATAAATCAACAAGGAGTGAGGAACACAGCTTTTGGTGGGGGAAAGGCAAGAGCATGGCAGTGGGAAGTGGTCTGGCAACTGCACTTTGCCAAGGACACTATTTTGGGCAAAGTCTTATGGGTGTAGCTCGGCAGTGGCTCATTTGTTTGATGTTGTACCAGCATTTGGAACCATTCTAAGTCCTGGGGATATGACAGAAAATAAACACATAAAAATTTGTGCTCTCATGGAGCTTACATTCTGCAAAAAAATAATGATTAAAATAGCATGTCAGATTCTGATGTTGTTATAGGGAAAAATGAAGCAGGTAACACATGTACAGCAAGATGGCAGGTGGAGGGGTAGCTGTGATGTTAAGTAAGCGGGGCAGGGGACCTCACTAAGAAAGTGGCATGAGCACAGACTTGGTGTTGAAGATCTCGAAAGAGCATTACAGACTACAAGAACAGAAAGTGCAAAGGCCCTGATGCAGGATTGTATTTGACATTACCAAGAAGCAGCCGGGGGCTGCTGTGTGGCTGGAGTGAGAGAGGTTGAAGAGTAGCATGAGCAGAGCCCATGGAGAGCTGGTTTTCCTATCACACTTGTCTTTTTTCCACACCACTCTAGCCATGTCACCATAATCCTCAGATCTTTACTGAGCAGCTACTATGTGCCAGGCACTGTATTAAGCAGTAGGGACACAGATGGCCCTACATCTATGGTTCCTGATGCTCTAGAAAGAAAGCCAGAGGTATACTTATCATTCCAACGGACCATGAAGGTTGTGAAGGACAAGAACAGAGGCTGTGGGGAAACCTCTTCTTCAATTAGATGGTTAATGGCATCTTCATAGAGAGCAATGAAGGGTGAGAGGCAATCAGCAAAGCAGAGAGGGTAAGGATTCCAGACAGAGGGAATGGCATGTGTAAAGGCCCTGGGGTTGGAGAGATCTTGGTGGTTTTGGAAGAAGAACAAAGGCCAGGTGTTTGCAGCTCTCCCAAGAACAGTGTTGTCTTTTTTTGAATGGGGGAAGGGGGTGTCCACTGGTAGGAGCTGCTCCCTCACTCTAGGAGCACAGCTTGTGGAGGGGCATCCACTGACCCTGTGGATATCGGTCTTTCTTCCAAGTGGTCCTTCTCTCTTGTCCTCCTTCTATGATGCGTGGCTCCCCTCTGCCTTTTGTCTCCCACCCCCAACTTGAGGGGGTGTCTCTGTCTACACAGTTTCTTTGTGCTTTGTTTATACAGTCACACATCACACGATGACATTTTGGCCAAGGCAGATCACATATATGACGGTGGTCCCTAAAGATTGTAAGAGAGCTGAAGTATCCTCATCACTTAGCGACATTGTACCATGCACGATACTCCGACGTTTGTGGTGGTATTGCTGTAAACATGCATAGGGTGCTACCAGGCCTGTAACAGCAGACAGCCCATGCAGTTAGGTACAGTACCTGACATTGATAATGATAATACAGACTCACTGGTTATGTATTCACTGTACCATGATTTTATCATTAATTTGGCGTGAACTCCTAGTACACAGTGTGCCATGTTCCTGGTGCTATCCTCATACAAAACATGTTTGTCATGACCCTCGATGATATCAAGAGGCCATGTGTAGTGACCGGCCTGAACCATCTAGGTCTGTGGAAGTCTGCCAGCTGATGTCTGCGCAGTGCCATCACCTAGTGACACATTTCTCAGAGCACATCTCCATGGTGGACAGGCTCACGACTGTGCTTGGTCATGCTTCCTGCAGCCCCGGAGGCCAGGGGAATAGTCTGAGTTTTGCAGAAGCACCTCAGGGTCCCTTTCTTGCCTGGGCCTGGCTAGTTTCATGTCTTCTCTTTCAACCCCTTTCATCCCCTGTCATTAGGCTGGGTGCTGAGTACTGGAGGCTGAGGGACAGCTGCACAAGTGGGGCTCCTGCCCACAGGGACCTCTGGAGTTTGTGCTTTGTTCAGGTATCTTCGACTTTTGAAGTTCTCACCTACTCCCCCCCCCCCCCCCCCCCCCCCGCCCCGAATCTGTGAGTCCTGAATACCTGTCCCTTTAGGAAGAGGGACCGACCGGTTGGCAGGAAAACTAGATCCTAATTTATGGCCCCTGGAGGTCTAAACAGGACATTCAGTTGTAGAACTTGCTAGTACATCTCACGCCTTCTGATTTATTCCTTAAATTATGACAATGGTAACTTTTAAATTTGATTTTATTTTTAGTGGAAAATGAAATGTGTCCTGGCTCTTTGGAAACTGAACTTTTTCTTCAATCATTTGGTTTTAAATGGTTAAGTAAATTTCATTAAATAACTATAAACATTCCAAATCCTCCTGCATACATATCATATTTCACATCATTGTAACTTAGATGCAAAATATTAAAATGTAAATGACTCAATAGAAAAATTATGGAAACAAATGCATGACTTTTATTACACTTTCAGAAAAGTTGCTTAAATATTTCCCCTTCCTTAGCAGAAATCTATGATGAATTAAAGGAAAAAAGTATTTAAGGACACTATAAAAATAATCCTTAAGAATAAAAGTAAGTTATTTTCCCCCTGATTTTATCTTTTTTAATCCTGTAAATATATTGGGTTATGTTGGTTATTGTCCACTTATTAATTTGACTACCACAAAGTAAGCTACATTAAACCAAATGTAATCATTTTAACTTAAGCATAAGTTGGAGTAGTAATTTTACCCAAGTGCTTAATATAGATCTAAATTTACATGTCATGTATTAGGAAATTTGAACCAACAGTTCTTCTTTTTCCTCTTTAGAAATATTTCAGTCTGTAGTAAAAATTGTCTGGAAAACATTTGGTATTTTATTTTAGTCTCTATCACAAATTTCCATGTGATTGTTCTATAATAATCTTGAAAAGTGACACAAGGTTCCTTTCCCATAATAAACAGCAACTAATGTAATAATAACAAATGATAATGCTAATGAAAAAATTATATTTTCCCCCAACTTAGAGAAGAGTGCCAACAATAGGTAGGATAAAATAAAATCAATATTTTGACAGTGCTCTATTATGTCTGGCTCATTAATTTGGAGACGACTTCTCTGTTCAATCCTAAATCACCAAGTGTCAACAAATAGTAGTTTTAACGTCTACTCTCATTCCAATGCATTTAATGCTTTGCAAGTTATTTTTGGAAGAAAATGATTTTTGATTCTGCAGATGTATAGAGATTGCATTGTGTAGGTTTTTGTCTTGGGGAACAATGAAAAACTTTTGCCATTGCAATTTGTATTCAAGAGATTGTTCATTTCAAATTCCGGTTCAGCACAATACTGCATAGTTTTCCATATATCTATACACATATGCACACATGTGTGTATACGCTAATGTGTGCACACACTCTTAAAAGACACATTGACTCCTTTTCGCCAATTTTACCCAAAGTTTCACTTAGCTACCTCTTCTTTTCAAAGAATCTAGAGTTTTGATTTCCAAGTACCGATTGTCAGTTGATTAAGGTCAATGCCAGCACTTATTCAGGCTCCTATTGACTGGGGCCACGTGATATAAGTGATTGATCCGCCTTAGACACAGAATTGCTAATTTTTCATTGCATGCTCCTTTCTACCTAGCCCCTTCTCCATCACCCCGAGTTCTTCGTACAGTATGGCAGGGCCGGCCACCTCCCCAGGTGCTGGGCTGTTGTGTTAATGCAGAATTACATCTCTCCCACTTGTGCAAAAAAGTA